GTGGCAACTGTAATGAGGTTGGCCTAGGATCGGGCAGTGTTTCATTCTGTTGTGCATTAGGTTGTTATGCGTTGGTTCCAACGCAATGGCACTTAACAACAGCAACAACGTTGTTGTTGCTAAGTGCCATTGAGTCAGTTCCTTGTCATAGAGACCCTTTATAGTATTTCCAAGGAGCAGCTGGTGAGTTGAACTGCTGACCATGTGGTTCAAACCAACCTTGTGGTTGAGTGCTTATCCTGCATTCAACCTACTGGCTGCTCCTTTCAGCCACACCAGGACTCCATAACTAATATGCTATTCTAAGTAGGGCCACGAAAGTTGGACCATGATGATAGAATGGGATAAAAGTGTGAAACAGAGCCTAAAATTCCTAAAACAAACAAACAACAACAAAATATTCCCTCAAAGCACATCAGATTTACTGGACTGGTTAGGCTTGAGGCCTCCTTGAGAATACTGACCTGACAAACTCCTTAAATCCAGAGCCTAAACTAACCCTTAAGGTCACCTTGTAGCTAAATCACAGATAAAATTCATCTATATGAGAACAGATTGTCAACAATTACTTTCAAACAAAGATGAGAGGTAAGACAGCAGGGACACTAGATTAATGATAACAGGACAACCAGAATGGAAATAATGATAATGTTCACATGTTGTGAAGAATGTGACCAGTGTCACTGAATAAATTGTGCAGCAATTGCTGAATGGGAATTGAAACTTCAGAGTAAGTCCTTACTGGGAAAAAAAAAAAAAATTTGTTGTTGTTAAAAAAGCAGTGTATTTATAAGGCAGTCAGAAATAATTTCAATAGTTTGCAATATAGTGTTTGTTGGCAGGCCCTTTGCAGATCTCCATATGAGTGTTTTTCATCTTGAAAGAATACTTAAACCACTCACTTTCTTTTCTTTGACGCTGTGTCTTCACAGTTCATTGAATTACTGTTGATACCTGATGGGAGGGACAATGACAGCAAAAAGCAAGATACAAATACAAGGGTATGCTCAATCAGAAGATATATTTTTGTTTTCTTTGTACAATATAAGACCAGATGTGTCACAAGTCATCTAATTATAGTACCACTGGCATGTTCTTTTGTGATCAACAAGAGAACAGAATGTGAAGTTTACCCAAGTCATTCAAAATAAAAATTAAAATAGAATTGTTATCACATACAAAATTGATAAAATATACATTTTATTTCATTGTGGAGTTTTTCAACTCCCATATTAGGAGGTATGTACATAATTTATCTAAAAAATAGCACCATTTTTCTTGATAAGCAAGTTTGTTTTAGTAGTCAAGACAATATTAATCAGTTTTTTAAAAGAAAGTCTGTCTTCATGGAAATGGAAAATAAATATATTTATATACTTTTTATTTTATGTTGTTGTTGTTAAGTGCATTTGAGTTGGTTCTGACTCATAGCGACCCTGTAGAGGGTTTCTGAGGAATGGCTGGTGTGTGTGAACTGCCAACCTTGTAGTTCAAACTGACATTGTACTCCAGTGAATTGTCCTGAAGCACTACACTAGGACATATAATTTTTATTATATAGCTATTCATTTATTTCCTCAAGAACCTGTTCAATTTCATTACATAGAGATATGTAACTATTCTGATAAAATAGACATAAAATATTCAGAAAAAAAGAGAGACTAGCATTATTTGATCAAAGCCATCACACAAAACAGAAGAGAATGAAACAAAATAAAGCTTTATTGGGCTACCCTGCAAATCAGTCTGTGAGGCTTTGCACCTCTGTCTGGCTTTATATCAGCAACGTCATCAATTGTATCTTGATAAGCACAGATAAGACAAGTCTTTCCTGTGCCCTATTTTGCTAAGCACTGTGACAGATAACCATTGATCGATGCTCTCCAGACAGCCTCACCCCACTCTGCCACACATGATGAGCTAGTGAATAAACATATTACAACTTAATTATTTTATATCATCTTAGTAATGTTCCGCAGACTTAAGGCACATCAATTTTAAAAGAAAAACAAAAACCCCTTGATTCAGGGCTCCAAGTTTCAGCATTAAGGAATCAGTTGCTACCATTATCCAACCCCAGAATGAAAAACAGGCAGTTTTTACCCAGGGTCCAGCCAACAAATCAGTGCTATCTCAAGTCATCTGAGGACTTGCTGGCCTTCGTTGACAAGTCCATGTGCTGGGAGCAGTGTTGACCTATCAAGTGGCATCTAGGGGAATAAAAGCTTTCCAGATGAGAGCTTGGAGACAAGAATATGTGGCTAGGGTACCTGTAGACCTGAAAGGTGAGCACATTCATGCCATGGCTTCTGGGAGTAGTTTCAGTATTAAAAAAAAAAAAAAAAGACACCAGGACAGGGTGCTGTGTTTAGATGCAGAACAAACATTTCCAAGTTTGCTAAACAGTAATTAAAAGTGCCTCCTCTGATTCTCAGTACAATTTTCCTTACCCACAGAGGCAAAAGGGGAATTTCACTCATTCTAAGTGTTACAAAGAGTGTGTCCTTGAATTTTCCAAAATATAAATGTAGAAAAACGAATTCTCTGCCTTTTGTACCCAGAAACAAACAGAAATGTACCGACAAAACAACACTGCTTCTATTTCTATGCCATCTGGGCAGGCAAGTTTGTCAAGTTTATCACCATCCTGTGTAGTCTCAATGGGATATGGAAGTGGGGAAAAAATGATGTCCACTTCTGGAAGCCAAATTCAGGACAAGTGGAGCAAATCCCACACACATCTGATTGTACCTCTTATGGTTTACTTTAACCTCGATGACTGACTTCACATTAGCAAAAGTGGGAATTAAGTGTTGGGAAAGGGACATCAAGGAAAAAACAAATTTAGAGCTACATTCTGAGGTGGAAAATTTGGGAGTTGGTCACTTGGTTTTGGTCAAATATTCTCAGTTGAAGCATGTCCTCCTGACTAAGAGTTAGGTCACTTGTCTTTATACTTCTGGTATGCACTCAGTATCTCCTTGATGACACTGGGGTCCTCCAATGTGGTAGTGTCCCCTAGATCCTGAGTTTTTCCAGTGACTATCTTCCTCAGGAGCCGCCTCATAACTTTTCCAGATCGTGTTTTGGGTAGACGCTTCACCACCTGGCAAGGAATGGATACAGCATTAGGGTTTGGGGATGGTAAGGTAAGTACTTGATACTAGTTGTTTGATGGGCATATCCCCTCTCCCCAGAGAATGGTAGGGACCAGTAGTCGATGACTCCAGCTTTCACCTTGCACAATCTAGATCTCAACTAAAATCAACCCAAGGGCAGGATAAATCATTCTCAGAATATCTGTGATCAAGTCAATGGTCTCAAGTCAGGGGTTTACACCTCACTGCTGATGCTTTTGTTTATTCCAGTCGACCATGCACAATCAAGCCCAGGAGGGCAGCACCTCATCTCCACCCCTGGCCTGGCCCTCAGTTGGCTTTGTCTTACATAAGAGCTGAGAGCTACCTAAAAGGAAACCTTTGTCATACTTAGTGCTTGAAGACTTAATCTTATACTTTCAAATAACCATTGCATATTCTTTGTAGTTTGCCACACATAAATAGCTGTGTTTGAAATATTTAATAGTAGCATTGTGTTTATAAATAATTTGGTTCAGATATACCTAAAACTGGTCAACAGGCCAGTAGACCGAATGTTAAAAATGCCAAGTAGTAAGTGAAAATAGTAAGAGCCTGAGGCTCCCATCTACCATCTGAAGATGGGCCTCCTACCTCAGAGGCAAACCAAACCAAGGTCTTGCTAGAGGAGAGGGCAAACAGACTCAAGAGGCTAAACAATTGGCTCATTTTTACTCCAGAAAGGGACTCAAGCACGGAGTCCCTCAGACAGGCTCTGACTATACCTCCATTATTGACACCCGGAAGTGTGAGGAGAGACCACAAGGAAGTTATATGTAGAACTCTTGTACTGCTTACATGCTCTCAATTGAAAATCCCTACTTTCTTTACCACCCAGTCCTGCTCTTACAACTGGCTTATAAGCCAAAGCATCTAACCCTGATTAGAACAAGTTCCTAAAAAGGTGAATTGTGTAAAGCTTTGGTGCTATGTTCCTCTTCCCGCAATCCATCCTTATCTCCCTCTCCGGCCCTCTGTCTCCCTTCCTCTGTCACACACCCATACACACACACACACACACACACTCTCTCTCTCTCGTATTTGCTCTGCAGCAATGCACCATCCTACCTACTGCCTAGGAAAAGCCAAACAGCAATGCCAGTTTGGGTTGCACTGTGCTCACATAAGATTGTGTTACTTGTTAACTATAAAGAGCAGTGCCATCGCTTAACAAGGGCGTCACTCACCAGAATCTGATCAGGCACAGCATACTTGGCAATCTTGGTGGCCACTGCTGACCTGAGCTCCTTCACCACCACGTCTGAGTCATCCACGTCATCTTTCAACACGATGAAGGCAAAGGCAGCTGGAAGGAAACCAACTGTTGGGAGTGTGCTAGACTACAAGGCACAGTGCTTTATGCAAATCACCATCAATCCAAAGGACTGTCAAGTTGTATGCTGGTGACACTGTAGCAGCTGGTTTCTTTAGCTGCAGCCTTAAAATTGCCTTTTGGTGGGCATTCTCATTTCCATTCAAAATGGAAGAGAGTCTAACAGCTCCACAGAAGGTCCCTGTGGTGGTCCTGTATGGCATGGAGAGCTTCATAGCATGGCTAGTCCTGACTGGCTATGTCTGGCCTTGCATAGATACTTAACCTCCTTAAACAAACTCTTCCTGAGAGATTCCTGTAATATAAGCTGACAGGAAACACCCATGAAGCGGTGCGAGGGGCACAGCAAGCCAACACTCTTCTCCTATGAATGTACTTGGCCGGCATAGCAGCCCCATTTCACATGCTAGCCAACCCCCATGTTGCTGGATATAGACACAAAGTAGTTCCAACGTGACACAAAGTTCAGGCTGCGTGTCTATGCAGGTTAAATAAAGCATTAAGCTTGTTTTCCCAATATCCTTCTATGTTATACAAAGGACTGACAGCGGCTCTCAGTGTCTCCACTGGGAATTCATCTTTGTGTAGGGTGTGATGCACAGGTTTCTATTCTATTCTTCTCCATGTGAACACCCACTTGTCCCAGCAATGAGGGCCTGGCCAGAGACCAGATCCAGGTCAGGGTTCACAAGACCCAGGGACTCACCTTGGTCAGATCAAGCACAGAGGAGATAGAGCGGGATTGAGAACACACAGCACTGGCAGGCAGTACCTACCAAGAACTGCGAGGGATTACTCATGTGCTACAGACGGAGCTCTGGTAGCATAGTAGTTACGAATCGGGCTGCGAACCACAAGGTCAGCAGTTCGAAACTACCAGCTGTTCTGCGGGAGAAAGATGAGGCTTTCTGCTCCCGTAAAGATTTACAACCTCGGAAACCCAGTAGAGGGTCACTATGAGTCCGGACCGACTCCACGGTATATAACAACAACAACAACAGATGAGTGCTGCCTAGATTATTAGCAATCAGGAAACACCAGTCACTAGAACTGTGATATACAAACCTCCCAGAAGTGCCACAATAAGCCTGGTAAAACTAAGTGCCACTCAGGGTGCAAGAGAACCCACCAAACCTAGCCCTGAAGCCAAGCTCCATGATGGACCAGCCCTAAGGAAGCCCTACATGGGAAGCACCACTGACAAGACCCCTAGTTCAGGGCAGCGGCAACAGGGGAGCCCCACCAAAGGACCTCAGGAGATGGAGTGACTTCTGTGTGTCTTTGAAGCTCAGTGAGTTGCCCTTGGTCTCACATTTGTTTTCTGGCATCCTCTAAGGCTGACCAGCTTCCAGAAAAAGACAGAAAAGGTCTGGTTCTTATTGACAGAGTCAGGAGGGACCCCTTGAATCCCCTACCACCCAAGCCCTTCCAGTCTCAGGTGCAGATGGGATCCTAATTCCAAGGATGTACTGGTCCCCTCAAGCCCAAACATAGGGGTTTACCTACACTCTGACCAGTGCACAGGTCCCTGAGGGACTCCTAGTAACTCATATTTTCCATGTTTCTCCTACGTATCTCCCTTCCTACCACACAGACAGCAGGCCTCAGGGGCACATTCTTTTCATGGAAAGGAAGATACGTTTAAAGAAATATTTGGAGAAATATTCAATGTAAAAGCACCGTGCCCACACAGGGCAGGAAGGCAGACAACATTCAAGACACACTGCACTACAGGATGACCTCTGACAGGCAAGCAACGGGCAGTGGTACTGCTGAAGTGCAGGGTCAGCATGTGTAGGGTGTGTCAGGTGTGAGTGAGTCATTTCAACACCATGTGCTCCTGATCATCTCCAGTCCCAAGTACTTTGAAACAGCTGTTTATCTCCTTATCAATGGAGAAGACTGCCCTGTTCACTTGCTCTGCATCTCCCAGCCTATCTGGGTGTGGAGTGTACTTGGGGTCAGATTCCTCCAGAAAGAGCCCCATTCACCACGTGGCAACACAGGAGCATAAGCCAATCTACGTGGCTATCACCTTAAAGGGCTGGGCCAAGACCATGGGAGGAGGTGCTGTAAGCAGGGGATGTTTCATTACAGAACCTCTGAGCTCCAAAACAGTCAGGGCTCCTTGGGGTGTCAAAGTTGACCCTAATCCTGCACATGGGCTATTCAGCCCTATATCAAAAGCTGTACTTAGGTGAGCCAGTTTGACTACAGCACCCCCATGCCTACCTGCCCCCTGTGTCTGCTCCCTCTCAAAGGGGGCAAGAGGAGCTCTGTTTGGACACTCACCTTCACCCTTGATATCATGGGGGTAGCCAATGACAGCAGTTTCTGGTACTGAAGGGTGGTTGGCCTGCACACATCAGAGAACAGAAATGGGACATGTAGTGGCCCCAAGTACCAGAGGTGAAGTTGGCACTCAGTATGCCATTATTGTCCCATCCCACCCAGTTCCAGGTTCTCAGGGACACCCTGGGGACAGAGAACAGGGAGGACTCATCTTGCTCACCATTGCATCCTCAATCTCTGCAGTCCCCACCCTGTGTCCGCTGACGTTGATGATGTCATCCATCCGCCCTGTGATCTGGTAGTAGCCACCTTTGGTGCGGTATGCACCATCTCCAGTGAAGTAGTAGCCTGCATCCCAGAGAGGGAGACCCGGTACCAGAATCCATAACTCCTATCCTCCCTTAAGAGACCATTAGAGCCATGTCCCAACCACTCAGCACCATTACTGTCTACTGGTCCCACCACCATCCCCCATTCTAAAGGAGACACTTCCCTACATGCTGTATGGCTGTATTCTAATAAGTGAGCTCAAAGACAACAAAATACTGATAATGTCAAGACTGCAAATGTCTAAGAAACTGAAGATACATAAGAAGCGCTAATCAAGAAACTTCCAAAAAATAAATAAAAATGAGCCTTGTTTGCAAGCTTAAGACTAAAAATTACTACAACACTGGTGGTACCAAACAGTTAATGTGGTGTTTACATTAACTTCCAAATCAATGACTCATAATCAAGGTGGGGGGAGGATTTAAATGTCCTAAAGAAAACTCCTTGTCATAATCGTTTTCAAGGTGATTTCTCCACTGTTTTTATCAATGGCTCTCAGGAATGCCTCCCTGAGGTGGCATCATTTCCTATGAGGGATTAGAGTCACAAAGGCAGAGTAAAGGATAAGGGTGGAGGGATTCAAGGCAGTGTTTCTGAAGTGTTCATCCTGAGCTACACCACACTTACAGTACTAATATAGAAACACATCTGAGTGGCCCTGCAGTCTGCAGACAGACCTATAGGGCCCCCCACCCAGGCTACTTACCAGGGTAATCTGTGAAGTAGGCACTCACGAATCTAGAATGGTCATTGTAGATGGTCCTTGCCATGCCTGGCCAGGCCTGGGAGAAGCAAAGTGCTCCAGAGACATCATCACCCTCCATAATGTTCCCCTGCAGACAGGCAGGTATGAGTTTGAAGGACAGGCAGATCCTGCCCTGGCCCAGGTCCAACAAAGGATAACTAAATTCAAAGGAGCTGCTTCCAAGGGTCTTAGGGGAACCCAAGATCATCCCCAATCCCAACCTCTGCCCCCATGAGTTTTCCTAGTGAGACATGAATGTTGATGCAGGACCCACAGCCTCTCTGTTCCAGCTCTGGGCCCAAGCGGTATGCGTGCAGCATTACTAGACACACAGGGTCAGTGGGGGTGCAGTGGCCCTGGATAGGAGGGGAGATCACCCTAAAAGCACACACACCTTCTCATCCATGATCACTGGGAGAATGCCAAAGAAGGGTCTCATGGCCATGCAGGGTACTATCTCTGCACCCTCTTCTGAGGGCCGTGGTGCAATGCAGATGCCACCTGTTTCTGCAGAAGAAGAGGAAAGTAGCTAGTGGGCCTGGTATCTCACCTCCTTGTTCAGAATACATGAAAAAGGTGCACAGTATTCTGCACAGTGATTCCCCTCCAAGAGCATATTTTTTGGAGATGGGGAAACAAGGAAGCAGAGATCTTGGTGGCCTGAGGACTTTTGCCTACAGCAGATCTAAACTTGGCTCCTTGTCCCTCACCTGCAGAAGCAAGTTTGGGCCTAGAGCAAAGGGCATCCATGCCTAGAGTTCCTGGAACCTAGCAGCTGGTGGATGCTGTCACCATTGCTCCTCATTTCCTACTCCAGTCAAGCCCTGGTTTAGATGCAGAGGATACAGGCCACCACTCACCTGAACAGAAGAGAAAGCTCATGACTGGGCCCATGACACAGACCAAACCGTGAGAAGGGGCACACAGTGCTGTCTTGACACTGGTTCTAGGCTCGATTAGTGTAGAAGCATCTCTACACTCAGTGAAAACAGCCTCTCAGGGAGCCCTTCTGAGTGGGAAGAGAGCTGAGCCATCCAGACCTCTCACTTCCTACTGGTCCAAGAAAAGGCTCATAATTACATTCATTATATCAGTGTATGCAATTATGTGCCCCAAACGTCCTATTAAGTCAGATACCCATGAGGGGAGGAGACAAACCAAATAAAAAGCCCCCAAAATAATTCCCTTTCCCACTAGAACTGAAATGCAGATTCACACTTCCTTAGATAGCACAGCCCCTCACCCTCATTTGTCATTCTGTTCAGGAAAAGGCCTGACAGCTAACAGCATTAGACTGAACCTGACTCCATGCAAGACCCTGAGCAACAAGTTTTAGATGCACTACCTCGCCTAATCCACCTCAGGAGCCTTTGAAACAGCATCCATTTTATGAACAAGCAAACTGCACTCAGAGAAGTCCCCACACACCCCACGTCTTAGCATGAGCTTGAGCACAGAGCTTCCTCACTCTAAACACCCACCCAATCAGAGGCCTGAGTGGAGTGGATTGAGTAGAACCAAGACTTGAGTGGACTAGACTACAATCAACTGCCATGAGCCCTCACTGCACCCTCACCCTACACCCCCTAACTAGTGCCCAGTGGACTAGGCTCAATGTTCTCACTTGAGATGACAGCTGCCCAGGGCAAGCCGTGTCCAGTGATCCCACTGCATAGTCAGGGATTCTCTTACCTGTCTGCCACCAGGTGTCAACCAGGGTGCATCTGCCATCTCCCACCACCTTGTGCAGCCACTCCCAGGCCTCAAGGTTGATTGGCTCTCCCACTGAAACCACAGTGAAAAGAAAAACATTCATCTCAGAATAGCGAAAATCAAAAGGACTGTTGAAAAGAACTTCATAATTTTTCTGAACGATGTAAAAGGAGACTGAAAAGGCAAGGAGATACATTGTGATATGTCATCTAAGAAATGCCAATTTAAATGTGACACTAACTATAGGAGAGTCAAAGATCAAGAAAGTGCCAAGACTACCCAAAGTGGTGGGGGGCTACAAAGGCAAGAAGTGACTGGCTTACAAGCTTTCAAGAGGGAACCTAGATCCAGAGGGCATGGAGGAAGGCAGAGTCTCCACTGAGTAGTATCCAATCTGTTCAGAAGGGGCTGATGAAAGGAAATACGGAAAGGTTTCTTGTGATACAATAGTGAATAATTGTTATCAGGACTGATTGTGAGGGTTGAAAATATAAAGGTAGACATTTTGCAGCAAGGAGGGGAGTGATTAACTTTCCAGTCTAGGAGCAGAGAGATGGAGTAGCTGGGGACTTTAGACCCAGAGAGGGAGAGGGGCTGTGTGCTGATGACTGGGGGGTAGGGGGCAGGGGTGGGGAAGGCTTGTAGGATATATCCTTTGGTTGGTTGATGATGCAAGGAGGGGATTGTAACCATGGCAATGAAACGATATACAGATGAATGTAAAACTAATGTTCTCCCATGTAAACTAGCACATAATTCACAATAAAACATTAAAAAAAAAAAAAAAAAAGGTGCCAAGAGTTTTCACATACAATGTGAGATGTAGTTTGGTACAGCAATTGTGGGGAGTAATTTAGCATTTCTCTTAACATTTAAAAATGTATGCATTTAATAAAATGCATGAATTTGATATGACTTTGGGGGGCCATTTTTGGCAAAATCTACTAAACACATTGTGGTTAGTTGTTAGCTGCCATCAAGTCAACTCTGACTCATGGTGACCTTCTGTAAAACAGGAGGAAACATTTCCCTCATTTTCACTGACCTACTGCTTTACCAAACATGATGTCCTTTTCAAGAGACTGGTTTTTCCTAATGACATGTTCAAAAAAAAGGAAGACAAAGTTTTGCCATCCTCACTTCTAAGGAGTATTCTGACTACACTTCTCTGTATCTAATTTGTTCCTTCTTCTGGCAGTACTTTTTCACTACCGTCACAATTCAAACATCAATTCTTCTCTTGTCTTTGTTTTTCATTGCCTAACTTTCACATATGTATGAGGCAATTGAAAAGACCCTGAATTGGAGTAGAGATATGTTAGTCATTAAAGTGGTATCTTTGGTATTTTACACTTTAAAGAGATCTTTTGCAGTGGATTTGTCCAATGTAATACATCACTTCACTTACTGACTACTGGTTCCATGAGTATGAATTATTGACCCCAGTAAAATAAAATCCTTGACACCTTCAATTTCGTCACCATTTATCATGTTATTTATGGGTACAGTTGTGATGATATCTGTTTTCTTCACATTAAGGTACAACAGATTACTAAAAATATTACATAAGGCCCCATTACCCTAAAATATCACTCTTGGGTAATGCAGAAATGATTGTTTGTATTCCCTCTGCAAAAAAACATGCATGGGGATATCCAGAGCAGAAACTAAAGACTGGCATCAAGAGTAAAATGAAGAAATGAATGGTGGTACTAGCAGGAAATGAAGTTCCATATGGCAGTGGTAAGCGGGGAGTCACTGCCTCCGCAGAGCCTGACAAACCAAGAGCATGGCACTGAGCAGCGAGCAGCACAGAGGGTGTGGGCTGAGAAGAAAGCAGCGTTTATCTGCAGCATTGAGATCAGAGAGGGGGCATGGTTGGGTTTCTGAGTGAGAAGGACACCATGGAGCCTTCTGAGCATGGTATACCTGGTAGGAATATAGTTACATGTGTAGATACTCTTCAAGCTGAACACTCAAGATGCATGCCTTTCATTGTTATTTTCATATTTCAATAGGAAAGAAAAAAGTACTTATCCCCTATGACCCTATCAGCCAACTTTCTGAGTCCACCTTGTGAAAAGGTCCATATATAGGGCTGATGTGAGCTGGAATGTGCTGGTTTAGGCATATTGTTCACATGGTTACCTCTCACTCAGGATTACCCACAACCCAGCAACTCTCTATACCTGTCTTGGCAAGGGCCTCAAGGGTCTCCACAAAAGGGCAGGAAGTAGATGCTCACTGCCATACCAGTTGCTCTGTACTGCATGCCTAACACTCAAGACAGGGCTAAGTAAGCACAGCCATCCTCCAGAATATGGGCATCTCTGCAGATACCAGGCAGGTCCACGAGAAAAATCCCACATTGCTGGACAGTGCAGGCCAATGCAGGCCAATGGTGTTCCCATCAAGAAGAAGCCTCCCCCACAGAGTGGCATCTTTTCAGATGACCACACCTGTGCAGAAAAGTTCGCATGGTCACAGACACACATGGGCCTCTCTGAGGCTTTTGTAATCATTGCAAAATTTCCATTTAACCTTTTCTCAACAAGAACATATTTATGTGTTACTTAAGTGAAAATATAAACCTAGGGGTAAAATCTTCAGTTAGCTGGATTCTCCCTGGTGGAAAGATAAAGAAAGTCAACACACCCAGGGCTTGGTGTAGCTGAGGGTTACTTCCAGTTGGCCTGAGCTGGCATCCTGGAATGGGAGACTTCCTTCCAGCTTTAGCATTGACATCCCAGACATGAAGCATATGACTTGACCATGGTGCTGGGTCCAAGGGACTAGGGGGCTCAGGACTGCTTGCCAGTACAGTATATTGATGACAGTAGCTGGCTGATTTGTACCTGGTATTGTGAAATTCCACAGGGCCCTCACTGCAGTCACTGACATAGCAAGGCACTGGCCACATCTGTGTTTCTTTACGTTCCCACACGCTGACAGAACAGAGTACAGAGACGTACGTATGCAGTGTCACAGAGTCAGAACTGGGTATCAGACCCTGTTTCTTCAAACTGGGCCACAGGGAGGAACCAACATCTTGTCCAAAGGGTCTCAGACCCATGACTCATCAAAAAGGGACCTGACTCCTACTAAGATGGTACCATGTATCCCCATTTCTGCTGCAGATACTCTCAGGGTGGCATTGGCCCTTGAACTCCTGGGCGGTCAGTCCATATCCCAGCTGTGTGCTGCCATGTTCTGGGAACCACAGCAGAGGGTGGTTCCGACTTGCTGAGTGCACAGGAAGGCACATGACTCACTGTTGACTGAGTTTCTCGTGGGCAGGGATTTGGAGCTGTGTAACAGTCAGGAGACAAATCTGAGTCAGTTGAGGGCTCACAGCTACACTCCGGCTCTTCCCTGTCCTATGAGCTTCATGAGTGAGAGCTCAGGAGAATGGGAGCTGTATTGTATCAGGCTCTGTATGCATATACACCCAGAAAATCCAAAAACATGAAGAAAAATGTCCTGACTAGGGCACAGGGTCACAGAAACTATACCATACCCTGGGGAATATGCAGAGGAGGCCCGGAGTAGGTCTGTCCTGAGAGGTGGAACGAAGATAGACTTTCAGGCTGAGGAAGGGGACAGAAGGGTAAACGGGGGTCCTAGAGACCTGTGAGGGTTGCTGGGGGTGGGTGCCAGAGGGGCTCTGGAGCCAGGCACTGAGCTCAGCACAGGCTTTCAGGTTGCTTGCTGAGTGACCTGGGACAGTTCTGTGACCATTCTGTGCCTCAGTTTCCTCCTCTGTAATGAGGGTCATCATCAGTACTTAGCTCACAAGGCTGACATAAGAAGTTAGGTATTTAATAAATATTGGTTATTATTAATAGTGAAACCCTAGTGTGGTACTGTGGGATAAAACACTGGACCTCAAAGTCAGTTTGAACCACAAGGTCGGCGGTTCAAACTCACCAGCCATTCCTTGGAAACCCTATAAGTTGGAACAGAGTTGATGGCACTTAAAAACTTAGTATTATGAATAGTAAGTCAGGGTAATTAAAGTACTTGGCTGGAAACCAAAAGGTCAATGGTTCAAAAAGTGGCAGTCTATTTTTGTGAGTGTTTATAGCTTTGGAAAACCTAGGAGCAACTCTATTCTATCCTTTCAGGGTCACTATGAATCAGAATCTACTCACTGGCAATGAGTTTTGTTTCTTTTTGTTTTTATTGTTAATACTATTCAAATCCTTCTTGTCTTTCTATCTAGAAATGTTGACGGGAAACAGAGGTTTGTTTGTTTTTTTACTGATAACATAAAAAGGTGAAAGAAGAGAAAGAGGAGCTAAGAGCAATTCTTAACAATGTCCGTTGTGCACCAGAAACACTACATACATTTTTTTCATCTTATCTTCACAACCTGAAAGGGAGGTTTCACCCCTACTTTGTGCACAGAAACACTGGTTAGACACCCACAGCGGAGTCACACACCCACAGTGCTGATAACCCCACATGTTCTCTATGAATAGCCACAAAGCAGGGTTGACAGAGATGGGCAACTTAGACATTGGCTACCCAAAAGGGGGGCGGGGGAGGACAACAAAGGCACGAAGTGACTGGCTTACAAGTTTTAAAAAGGGAGCTTAGTTTCAGAGGGTGCGGGGGAAGGTAGAAATTTCCACTGAGTGGTTGCCAACATGTCTAGACAGGACTGGTGAAAGGACATGGGGATAAGACTCTTGTGGTTTAATTGTGAATAATTGCTATCAGAACTGATTGTGAATGTTGGAAATATAAAGGTAGACATTTTGTAACAAAAGGAGGGGAATGGTTGATATTACAGTCCAGGAACTGAGGAAACTGGGACCATCAAGAGAGAAGAGCAGAGTATGGTACCCTATCCAGAGAAACAGAGACATCAGAGATGGAGGCAGAGATGATGACATGGAGAGATGGAGTAGCTGGGGACTCTAGACTCAAGGAGGGAGAGGGGCTCTGTGCTGGTGGCCAGGAAGCTGGCTGGTGTGCAGGATATACTCTTTGGTTGTTTGAATGGTTATATATTCCTGAGTGCTTCACAGTACATCCAAAAAAAAATACACAGAGGGATTGGAAGCAAATACTGTTGAATGATGACGTATGCAAAAGATTGTAATCATTTCAATGAAACGAAATACGATAGGATGAATGTGAAGCTGATGCTGTCCCATGTAAACTATCACTAAATTCACAATAAAAACTTTAAAAAATGCTTTGTACAGGATTTGGCTCTGGTTGCGTAGTGGTTACGAGTTGGGCTGCTAACCTCAGATCAGCAATTCAAAACTACCAGTTGTTCCATGGGAGAAAGATGAGGTTTTCTGCTGCCATAAAGATTTACAGCCTTGGAAACCCTATACAGAGTCACTATGAGTCGGAACCAACTCCACAGCACACAACCACCACCACCACCCAAATTAAAAACAGCAATAATCTTTGATCTAGCAATTATCTGCTTGGAAATTTCTACAGGAAGAGCAGTACACACACGCAGAGGGCAGGCTTACCTGAACCCAGGGTCCGCAGGGAGGAGCGATCATACTTCTTCACCCACGTGTCACCATACTTTAGCAACAGCCGCACAGCTGTTGGGGCACAGTAGAACTGGTTGATCTGTAGGCGTTGCACTGTCTCCCAGTAACGACCTATAGAAAGGCCCAGTGTGCAGTCAGTGGAACCCTTTGAACATGACCACCCTAAGACAGATAAGGCAGTAATCTCATGTGTTGTAGCCATGCACATGTTTCATGTGTTCACAGAAAGCATGAGTTGTTCACTGGAAGATAAAGGAGCCTGCACCCAGCTCTCTACACACATGCTCAGTCCATGGCTGGAACATTTTCATACACACATGTGTATTCCACATGACACAGTGAAGATTTGGGTTAGAAAGGTATGACTGGGAATTTAAAATTAGCCTGTGGCTAACACAGAACTTTTGTTCAGTCACATTTAAATACACTCTACTTAGTTACTAGTGTTCCCTGGTAGCATACATCATTCATTTAGCCTCATAGAGCCCCATGTAACAGATGAGTGGAGTCTCAAGTAGTTATGATGGTGAACCTGAGATTGCTCTAAAGATGGGCTCTCAGCCCCTGAACTGTGGTCCTGATGTGTTTTTCCTTATGCTGCCATCAGCCCCTTCTGGTTCTGGATAGGACCCAAATTCTAGGGTAAGAACCTCCAGCAGAACCAGTACAATCTGACACAAATAAAGTGAGTATCTAGGGAGGCTGAGTTATATATGGGAGGAAGATAAGCAAGACACAGCCATGTCCTCAAAGCTCCTTGAATCTGCCTCAATTTACAAAGAGGGCACCAGGTCATCCCTCAGACTACGGTGCATGCCCAGGAAAGTCCTGTTGGGAAAGGGTGGGGCTGGGTGGTCCCTCCATTGGGAGAGATTGGATGGGCTGGCAGCTGGTCAGGTTCTGAGGAAGGACTGCATGGCCAAGTGGCCACTGAGGGGAGAAGGCAATGCTAAGGAGACAGCCTCTAGGTAGTATAAATCTGAAGGGCAGAAATGGTGGCATAGTGATTTGTAGATGTCTTCCTGTGCCCACCAGACTGTCTTTTGCCAGGTGATCTTACAGAGATGGAGGCCAATCCAATGAGCCTAACAAGGAGCCTCATGCTCAGCAGCTCCAATACCACCAGCATTTGCTCAGCAGGGTCTCACAACACCAGCCTGTCTAGAGTGCAGGCCTCCACTCTTTCATGACCCTACCACCTCAGTCCTCATGCTGCCCCCCTACCCCAGTGCAAGGTTCACAACAGAGCACCCAGTCCTCACCAGCATTGGGGTAAGTAGGGGTGCTCTCAAAAAGGACACTAGTGGCTCCATTGCAGAGCGGTCCATACACCACGTAGCTATGTCCTGTGATCCAGCCAATGTCGGCTACGCAGCCAAAGACGTCACCTGGTCTATAGCCAAACACAAGCTGTAGACAGAAGGAAAGGCTGTCAGGATTGTACCCCCACTCTTCCATTCTGCCAAGAAAGAGCATGAACATATAACTGGGGGACTTGGAGGGCCACCCACACTGATAATTGCACACCCCTCCCAGTGGCCCAGTGATGACCATGTACATGAAGGCAAAATCTAGCCAGAATGATCTGTGCTGACAGTTTGGATCAAGGTCATGCTTAATAGGCAGACTAACATGTAAGAGCCTTAAAGGAGCTGGGAACATCCCAAGACTTGATGTGGGAGGGGTGTCACATAGTGTATCTATAGGTAAGATACCATCTAGTTGTACATTTAATTTCTGCATTCTGTGATACACAAATTTTTAAACCTTTTAAAAAACTGTAAGAGTAAAATCCCCAAACATCAAGAAATCTATTGGCATCAACAGCTTCTAATATCACAAAGCAGGGATACATGTGTCACCAAGGGGTCTTGCTAAGGGACCCAGTAAAAGTCTTATCTGGTATCTGGACCCAACTGCTACTTTGAAGGGACACAGAGGACAGAGGAGCAATTGGCAGCGATCAAAGAGTCTCACAAGACCAAAGGCCCAGGTTCTACAATAGATTCAGAGAAAGAAGGGGACAAAAGCAGATCCATAAAACTGAAAGATTTAAAAATATACTGGAATTTCCACCAAGATGATGGACTAAGTAGACACATTACACAGACCCTCTACAATAAAGATATATGAGACAGATACAGATGAAGCCCCTGGATCCTTAGAGAAGGGTATTGAATACTGACTAGGAGAAGAAGCTGAACAGGGACAGCAAGAAAGGAGACTGATGGGTAAAACTGACTGGCCTGACTCAGCATGGCTATCTTGAATTTCGGCAAGCAGCACTGGATATGAGTCATTGCCTGACAAAATAGAAACACATCAGGGCCTATTGATGCCAGCTGGACCACCCTGGTGCCTAAAGGCAGGTGAACTCTGTTTCTTCAGACCTGTAGAACACCCAAAGTTGCTCCCCAGCCAGTCTTAAACTAGCAGGAACAACTATAACCAGGTGCCCTGAACTCAGCTGCCTTCAGGGCCTGAAAGAGTTACTTCTGGTCTGCATGAACTACTTCCAGATTGGGAGCACATTATAATGAAATGTGCAAAGACATGGAATTAGAAAACCAAAAGGGAATTAACACACTTAGCATTTCTCAAGCTAAAAGAACTGAATAAAACTTTCAAACCTCAACTTGCAATATTAAAGGATTCTGTGGGCAAAATACTGAACGATGCAGAAAGCATTAAAAGAAGATGGAAGGAATACACAGAATCACTGTCCCAAAAAGAAATGGATGATGTTCAACCATTTCAAGAGGAAGCATATGATCAAGAGTCAGTGGCACTCAAAGAAACGATGCAGAAAGCATTAAAAGAAGATGGAAGGAATACACAGAATCACTGTCCCAAAAAGAAATGGATGATGTTCAACCATTTCAAGAGGAAGCATATGATCAAGAGTCAGTGGCATTAAAGGAAGAAGTCCAAGCTGCACTGAAGGCACTGGCAAGAAGCAAGGCTCTGGGAATTGATGGAATAGAAATTGAAATCTTTCAACAAACTGATGCAGCACAGAAGACACTCACTGGATGCACTCAGTCATCAGTGCCAAGAAATCTGTAAAGCAGCTACATGGCCAACTGATTGAAAAAGATGCATATTTGTGCCCATTCCAAAGAGAGTTGACCAAATGGAATGTGGAAATCATTGGACAATATCAATAATATCACATGCACATAAAATTTTGATAAATTCAAAAACAGCTGTAATAAGTACATTGGTAATGAACTTCAAGAGGTGCAACTCAGATTCAGAAGAAGATGTGGAACAAGGGATATCACTGCCAACTTCAAATGGATCTTGGCTGAAAGCAGAGAATATCAGAAAGATGTTTACCTGTTCTTTATTGATTATGCAAAGGCTTTCAACTCTGTAGGTTATGACAAGCTATGGATAACATAGTGAAGAAGAAGCTTTCCCAAACACAGCTGTTTATTAATGCTCATGAGGAACATGCACATATACAAAGAGGCAGTAGTTCAAACAGAGCAAGGGAAAACGGAATGGTTTAAAATCAGGAAAGGTATGTGCCGGCATTTACCATACTCATTCAATTTGTATGCTAATCAAATAAACCGAGAAGCTGGATTATATGAAGAAGAACATGGCATCGGGATTGGAGGAAGACTCATTAATAACCTGTGATATGTAGATGATACAACCTTGCTTGCTGAAAGTGAAGAGGACTTAAAATACTTAAAATCAAAGATCACAAATTTCAGTATCAGTTACATATCAATGTAAAGGAAACAGATATCCTCACAACTGGACCAATAAATAACTACATAATAAATCGAGAAGAGATTGAAGTTGTCAAAGGCTTCATTTTGCTTGGATCCACAATCATGGATGCAGCAGAAATCAAAGGACATATTGCATTAGGCAAATCTGTCGCACAAGACCTCTTTAAAGTGTTTAAGAACGAAGATGTCAGTTTGAGGACTAAGGTGCACCTGACCCAAACCTTGGCATTTTTCAATAGCCTCATATACATGTGAAAGTTGGACAATGAATAAGGAAGACCATAGAAGAATTGATGCATTTGAATTATGGTGTTGGAGAAGAATATTAGAAGTACCATGGATTGCCAAAAGAACAAACAAATCTATGTTAGAAGAAGTACAGCCAGAGTGCTCCTTAGAAGCCAGGATGGTGAAGCATCATCTCTCAAACTTCAGACATATCAGGAGGAACAAGTCCCTGGAGAAGGACACTATGCTAGGTAAAATGGAGGGTCAGCAAAAAAGACGAAGACCACCATGAAAGGGACTGGCACAGTGACAGCAACAATGAGCTCAAACATAACAATTGAGAGGATGGTGCCGAACCAGGAAGTGTTTCATTCTGTTGTGCATGGGGTTGCTATGAGTCAGAATTGACTCAGTGGCACCTAACAACAGGCCTCCATCCAGGGCTGAGTATGCCACTGTTTCCCTTCCTCTCCTACTTAGTGTGAGCTCTTTCACTGACAGAAGCTTCCCCACAATATTTTCCTGTCTAGATCTGTCCCTTGCCCGATTTTTATCCTTTTGTTATTTTCTTTCCCCTTTTATGTCCTTCTTTTTCTCTTTCCCTTCATTTGATTATTTTATCTGTTCTTTTTCCATTTATCTTTTTTCTTCATTTCTTCTGTATCTTTTTTCCTTTTCCTTTTTTCCTATTTGATTATTCTCTTGACTATTCTCTAGTCTCTTTCTCTTTTCTTGCCTAGTTTTGTTTAGTATTTTATCCTTTTCATTTACGCTCTTATTTTCCTCTACCATGGTTTTTCCCTTTCTCTTCTCTAACTTTTTAGTTATTATACTCTTTTTTCTTACTGTTGCCTGGTTTTCTTTTATTCCTTTATTTTTAAATTGATTTTTATTTGGTAGATTTTGGGGTTGGAGCAGGGCAGAAATAGGTTCTTCTTGCCCTCCCTAACAGGAGACAACTTTTCTCATATAGCCCAGCTATAACCTTACTTCTGCAGCTCTATACACTGTACAAAGGCTTCTATACTACCTAATCTACAATAGCCAGCAGCCAACACCAGACAAACCCATCCTGAACACACTAAACAGTGAACAGAGAACTATACACATGCTTACACTCTGTAATCATACCTTCCAGGAGGCAGGCTATGAGGGCCTAAGAACACACCAACATACAAACATCAATTAAATACAAACACAATGACACCACAATGTCTCCAAGACAACAATTTCGGTTCACATGAAGAAACAAGACAGAGGAGTTCAGAAAGTGACCATGATGCAGATTCAGTAAAAATTGAGGAAGAAAAGTTATTGGAACTACCTGATAAAGAATTCAAAATAATTATATATAGGTACCCTCAATGGATTAAAAGAAAAATTGAAAAACTAAAGAGAACACAGAAAACACTTTAGAAGAATTCAAGAAAACACAGAACAAATGACAAAATAAATGGAAAATGAGTAACAATTCAAAATTTTCAAATAGGAATCTTAATACTAAGGTTTCAGATATGGATAATATATTGGAAGAGCAAAGGT